GGAATCAGTTTCAGGCTTTGGGCTTACCACACGAACCATAGGAGCAAGAACAAGCTTGTTCTGGTAATCCATCATCTTCGTGGCAACGTCAAACGCAGCCACGAAAAAAGCCCTAGATCTGCGCAGGAAATTTCTTGTTTTTGCTTTCTCTGCCTCTTCAAATTTTCTTACTCATGAATTTGTAATTGGGCCTAATAAGGCCCATTATAATTGCTTGTGTGTTAATGTGTAAATTGATCTTCTAAAAAAATTGTACTATTTTAGTATTTTGTCCAAAAAAAAAAAAATTGTACTATTACTTTTTTGCACAATGAATGATTTAACAGATGATTGAAACAAACTAATCAGAAGAAAAAAATTGGATGAAAAAGAGTGTTTTTAGTAAATACATTTCCATGCTCTCTTCATAATCTCGTCTTCTACAAAGGGACGCAATGACCACATCAGAGTATAAGTCTCTAGTTCACCAGAAGATGACTTAAAACTTAGCGATCTCACAATCTTTTCCTGCAAAAGAGTATCCATTTTTTTTTTCTTTCAGTAAGTTTTGAGGTTTTGAAGACTAAACATGAAGAGAAGAATTCAGATCGCGCGCACCTGCATCGCATAGTTTTGCTTCATCATACTGTAAACTACTGCAATAAGTGTAGCGTACTCCGTAACTTCAGGGAAAGGTAGAGTCGTGGTTTCCTGAAACAACACACATCCAAACAAACAACATTACTCTGAAACCTGTTTTTTTTAGAGATACAAGTTCATTTACTCGAGAAACATGTGAACAAATTCTGTTCACGTATTACCTCATCACATGTTACTAATTCATCACTTGATTCTTTATCTACCTGTGCGGCAGTCTCCATTCCAAGGCCTGCTTCATCTGCGAGACGCTCGAGCTCACGTAACAAGCATTGAGCTGTAAAACCCACATCTTAAAGATTACAAGGGCATAATTGTTTATAGAAAAGGAAAATATAATTATGTAGGAGTGAGTGATGACATGAAACAGTAACTGATTGTAAAACAAGAAAATAGAGACGGAGTTATATGACGATAAATAATAGTACATTACCTTTGATTAAGTGGTCAGAAAGTCCTGATAAGGATGTACGCACTTCTTATTCCGGTAGTTTTGTTTTCAGATAAGAAGCGGACGAACAAGAAAGAAAAGAGCAGCAATGTGTAAGCAAAAGCGAAAAAAATGCTGAAGAATTTCTAAAACATAAATCAAAAGAGTTGATCCAGTAACTTACAAGCTCTTGTGCTTTGTGCAGCATCATGAATGTTAATACATCCTGCTTCTATATATGATTTAAGCCGTCTTGTTTCATTTTTCTTGATAATGTTCTCGATCAACTTGGACGAAGTAACTATCGGAGGACGTTGAAGAATGCCTGAGATAATAATAATTCCATAAGAAACATGACACAGAGGGATTGCAAAATTGTAATCTCCAATGAAGATAGTACAAAAGCAACATACTGAGTCCTTGCTGAAACCGTAGAAGAAAGTTGTTTGCAGCATTCCCTAGTTCCTCAAGCTTTGTGATCCTATCACCATCGCAGTAACTAGGATTCAGAGGGATTAAATTGAGCCAACTTGAAAGTACATATCTGTAACAGAATCAAACTTACCCTGTCATAAACTCTTTGAAAATCTCGAAAATTTTCTGCTTCCCTTCGTTTCTCGCTTCCATAGAAGAAAAATTCTGAGACAAAGTCACCAAACAAGAAATTGCATACCCAAATTAAGTATTTTGTTTACTTATCAAGATCAAATTTTCCAGTAGGTAATCGAGTGTTTACACTTGAAATAATTTAATTTCAAAGGTTTCAATAAGAACCAAACGGAAATTCCAACCGAAGGAGCCTTCTGACATTCAAACTCGGGAACGATCTAATTAGACTAAAAGTAATCAGAACTAAAACGTTACTGAAGTAATTGAAACAAAACAGCAGACTGACTTTTGAGAACCCAATCGACCAAGACA